CTGCCTGCCTCTCTGTCTGTCTGCCTGTCTGCTTATCTGTCTGTCTGACTGCCTGTCTGTCTGTCTGTCTGCCTGTCTGCTTATCTGTCTGTCTGTCTGCCTGTCTGTCAGACTGAGGACTCAGTTGAGTTCAGAGAGGCGTGTCACTGGGCTGGCTTAGCATCTCTTGAAGGCCACCCTCTTAAGTTATAGAGGGCATTCAATCTGTGTTGCTGGGGAAATACCCACACCAGTGACATGACGGGTGCTCAAAGTGGCAAAATACTAATTCATTCATTCATTTGTCCCTTTATTCATTTGTTCAACCATTCAAGAAGCATTCAAGAGAGTTGAAGCCAAGGTTCTGGGCTTGGAATTAGGAATAACAATAGCAAAATTGACGTTTCTGTAGTGTTGTAAAGTTTGCCAAGTGCTTTCTAAACTTTATCTTATTTGATTCTCACAAAAACCCTAGGAGATGTGTCAAAATGTCCTCATCTTAAAGATAGAGAAGCTGAGGCAGAGAGCAATTATGTGACCTATCCTGGGTCACACAGTAGGGCAGTGATTGAGGCTGGATTTGAACTCAGGTCTTCCTGACTCCAGGCCTGGCACTCTGGCCACTGTGGCGCCCCCTTGCTACCACGTAAGTTCAGATCCTGCCTCTGATAAATACTGGCTGTGTGAACCTGGACAAGTCACTTAACTTTGCTACCCCTCACCTTTGTTACATGCAAAATGAGGGTAAGAATAGCCGTGTCATTTTAAGGCTCAGATGAGATAGTGTAGGCAAAGCCCATCACACGGGACGAGATGAGATCGTGTCTGTGAAAGTGCTGAGCACAGTACCGGCACATAGTAGGTACTCTATAAGTACTTATTCCCTCCCTCCCACTGCAAACTCTGAGGTGCTGGCCAAGCGCTGGCCGGGAGCACTGCTTCCCACCTGCTCTGTGCACCCTCCACGCAGAGGGTACCTGGGCTAGGAGCCCAGCTCTCAGAACCTCACTCTCTCTCACTGGCTCCTGGGAGCCTGCTCCCTTTCTCCTTACCTGGTGCCCCAGTTTCTCATATTCTTCTGGAGTTTGGTGAGGAATAGCCCATAAAACCTTGTCTCACAACCCCCGTCCTACCAGGAAAACTCCTTTCCTTGCCCCGATCCCTTGTCCTGCTGTTTCCATCCGTGGCCAAAACTTTAATGAGAACATTAGAAATAGTTCAAAACAAGTAAGCTTCCTCCTCCTCCTGCTCTTCCTCTTCCTCCTCATCAAAGCTAACATTTATATAGCACCTACTATGGGCCAGGCACCGTGCTAAGGGCTTTACAATTATCTAATTTCATTTTCACAACTCCGGAAGGTAGGTGCTTTTATTATCCCCATTTTACTAATGAGAAAACTGAGGCAAACAGAGCATCAAGTCCTCATGACCCTATGCTGATGATGTGGTCATCTCCCCCACTCCCCAGTGAAGAGCTGGTAAGGATAAATGGCCAAAGATTTCCCTCTAATGGCTAAACCACCACAGAGGTCAGCATCCAGTCTATTTAGGTGACTCAGGAACTCAGAGCTTATGAGTCCTTCCCAGTGAATGATGGTGACCACATCTCTGATTCCCTCTGACCATGGTGTCCCTTTCACATCAGGTACGTGGCTGTGGTGGTGGTGGTGGTAGTGCCCTGCCCAGGCAGCTGCAAAGGATGAATGCCAGGCTTCCTAACAGGGCACCATTTTCTATTCTCAACCTCTATTGAAAGCTCACTTAGGGCCACATCTCCTCCTATGTGGGCACACTCTGCCTAGCATGTCAAGCCCCCAAACTCCCACCCTAATGAAATATTTTTTCAAATTTGTTTTGTTTTCCCACAAGGTATTTTTTATTTTTGGGTGAGGCAATTGGAGTTGTGACGTGCCTAGGGTCACACAGTTAGTGTCAAATGTCTGAGGCCAGATTTGAACTCAGATCCTCCTGACTCCAGGGCCAGTGCTGTATCCACTGTGCCATCTAGCTGCCCCCCACCCCGGACTATTGCAATAACCCCGTAATTGATCTTCGTGGTTCTGGTCCTCCCCATCCCCTCCCCCACCCCCTCCTCCATCCTCCACAGAATTGGCAAAAAAAAAAAATCTTCCTAAAGCACAGATCTGACCACGTTGCTCCCCTGCTCAAAAGTCGTTGATGGCTGCCTATGGCTCTAGGTAAAATCAGAACCACTCAGTTTGGCTCTGCCTGTTTCCAGGCGTCTTTCACTTGACTCCCCTTCATGCTGGGAAGCTTTCCAAGGGTGCAGGGCATAGCTACCAAGTGACTTATTCTTCCCTGGGAGCCCTACACCCCCGTAAATTCTAAGAATCATGGAAGTACCAGAGCTCAAAGAGATGCTGGCATTCATGTAGGTCGGCCCCCTCATCTGACCCAGGAAGAAGCTGCTGTCCAGCCCGGAGAGGGCAGTAGATTGGTAAGGGGCAGCCCCAGGCCTCCTGCCTCTAGGCTGGGCCTCTGGCTTCCCCTCCCTCAGAATCCGGCTCAGGAAAGGGCTTGTAACAGAATCTCAGCTGCCAGGCTTGATTTCAGGGTTTTCATCGAGTGGGGCATGATTTTCTTTGGCCATTGGATTATGTTACCGCCGAGTAGCCCCTGCATAATGTATGCCAAGACCTAGCCAAGGTGCCAATGTCACTGGAAAGAAGAGAAAAAAACAGGCCGGTGAGAAGAGAGGGCCAAACTCTCAGCCGGGCAGAAAAGACCCTTTGGCTGGGCACAGGATACCAGCCTGCCCACGTCTTGGTCAGCCGGCATCCTAAGCTGCCATTTCCCCAGAGTCCAGACAATCACGGCACTCCAATAACCAGATTTCCCACCAGAAGCCTGCAAACTGGTATTTAATGCTCCTAAGATCGGCTGTAATACATAGAGAGCTGTCCTCGGTCAGGACAGCCTGGGTTCAAGCCCTGCTCCTGATGCACAGCCAAGGGTTCTTCCCCCTCCTGTAGGTCTGGGGAAACCTAGGGAGCCCTTCGAGGAATCACGATTTAAATGCATAGGATTGCAAAGGAAATTGATTCTGCCAAAATTAGTAATTAAATATATTTTTAAACAGACATTCACAGCTCCCAGGTTAGAAACCACTGCCCTAAGACACAGGGTTTCTTCCCCTGATCTTTCCCACATGATGAAGTGACAGGTTTGCACGAAATAGCCGAGTGAGGAATAGAGGCCGTGTAGGATCCTGAAGCACCTTCTGAGTGGGCCAAGAAAGGTTAGTGCAGTTTCTATGGGCTTTTCCTGCAAAGCGGGTTTTGTTGTACCTGGATTCTTTGAAAGCCTGGGCAGGGATTAGAGCCCAGATTAGAGCAGTGCATCTTTACCAATGAGCATGTGCCCTTAACAAGATGGCCCCAGTCCATGGCCCTCCAGGGATGGTGGCTTCAGTGCTGAACTTGACCTTGGAATTAGGAAGCGCTTGGAAGCCTCTTCTCACCCTGAGGATGCTGGGCAGGGCTGCAGAGGTCATCAGGCCCAAGACCCTCACTGGGCGCTTACTGTGTGCCCAGCACTGTGCTAGGTTTATGAAGAGTCCCTGCCTTCAGGGCACTCCCATTCTAACGAGGGAGAGGGCCTCACCAGCATTAAGAGGGATGAGCTGAGTCTTGAAGGAAGCAGGAGGTGGAGGTGAGGAGAAAGAGCCTTCCAGGTATGGGGCACAGCCAGGCCAAAGACATGGCATCAGGAGATGGAGGAGCATCCAGGAGGCTGGTGTACTCGGAGGGAGGATATGAAGCCAGGCCTCATTTGGGGCCAGCATTCTTTCTGTGGGGCTTCCTTCTGAGGAATAACAGGGGTTCATCATTTAGTGACAGGGCTGCAGCCCCCACCAATGCAGGTCCTGGGTCCCAGGCGGCTTCTTGGGTCTCACCCACTTCCCTGTGAGGTTCCCTGGGGCCATCCTGGAAGATCTGACCTTTGGTGCTCCCAGGATTGGCAGTTTCTCCCAAGGGAGGCCACCAAGCTCCCTCCTGACAGCTTCGGGTAAGAGATCCAGCGCCCCATCCCACAGCGAGCCAGCCACCTGATACTGGCTTTCAAATATTGATGCCGTGCTAAGCCTGACTCCCTGACCCCCCATCCTCTCAGGAGGAGGCTGGTGCACGGCATAAGGGGCTGGCCAGGTGTGTCCAGGCTGGTGGGCTGGGAGGTCCAGCTTCTCCTCCTCGTGGTGAATTGCTCAGGTCTGGCCCTTTCCCAAGGGGTGGCGGCTGGCGTTCTGACCTTCTGACTGGGAGCCCAGGGATGGTTCTGCTCTCCCCGGGCTCCTGGTCAGGTGGATTCCTGGAAGGCCGGCTTCCTCCACTCCCCTGGGGTCTCTTCCCCATATCCTGCTCCTCCAGATCCCTTTGTGGTGATTCACACTTGGACAGTCCTGTAGGGGGCTGGGGAAGGGCTCATCTTCCCTGGGAAGAATTCTCCTAACTCTGGCTCCTCCAGAGTCCAGGAAGAGCAGAGGGTCAGGTTTCATTGGCTCCTCTCTCCCCTCCTGGAAAGGCAAGATGAGAAGGATGTTGAGACGAGGCACTCTTCCATGAACAGCAGGCATTGAATGACTATTTCGTCCAGTGGAGAGATCATGGGGCTGAAGTTAGGACACGCTTGGGTTTAAATTCTGGCTGTGTGACCCAGGGTAAGTCACCTATCCTCTATCATCCTCAGTTTCCTCATCTGTGAAATGGGCAGCAGCCAGTCCATATTCAGAGTCAGAGGTTCAAAGGTGGGTTTTGTGTGACATTGAGCAAGTCACTTTATCTGAATTTCAGTTTCCTCATCTGTAAAATGATGACATTAGACTGAGGGACTTCTATGGTCCCTTCCAGCTCTCAAGCCCAATGATCCCAAGTCCAGCCGTGGGACCGTCACTGGATAGTAGAAGTAACGAAAGCTGCTGGAGGCCAGTGATAACTGAAAGGTTGATGCTTTGGGAGGCTTGGGCTCTGTCCCTTCTCTGCTGGCTCCTGATCAGCTATTACACCAGAAAAGGGGTGCGTTGATGCATTCAGGCCATACCACTCACTGCTCTGGGCTCTTTACAGCAAGTTTGATCTTGTAGCAGAATCTTCCATTGAATAAGGGATGATGAGCCCAGGAGTGCAGAGACTTAGAGCCAGGGAATTCATGGAGAGCTTAGTGTTGAAAGGGGGCCCCTTGGGGAAGGGGGAGGCTAGGGCTGGGGAGGGGTCCCAGGTGGGCCTGCGACCAGCTCCCCAAAGCAAATCGGGTCCTGGCTCCATACATGGAGACCTGCCCTGTGCATGGTCATTGCTCTTAGGTTTGTCGATGAGTGATAATTATGAGGATATCTGGCATCTGGGTTTCCAGTGAAGTTGTAACTAGGATGGGGCAATGGGGGCTGCGTCTCAGAATGCTGTTGGGGGCATGCTTCCTCTCCAAAGAGGTCATTCATCCAGGGAAAGGGAAGAGAGGCTCCATCTCCTCAGTGGATCAGCCCTAAGGAGTGGGTGAGGACAGAGTCCCCCATGCTGTTCTAGTCCCAGTGGGGTCCAAGAGCAACTCTGAGGAAGGCAATTGGAAAATATTAGTCTTGGAAGTGGCCCCCCACTGAAGAGCCCCTGGCCATCTGGGCACAGGGCTGGGGCTACTCTTGGAATGGAGCAGTGCTCCATTCAACACAGGAAACTCCTGGATGAGGGGCCCCTTCCAGGGCCTCTCAGGACTTTCAGCTGTAGGAAAAGGGGCATTTCAGGATTCTGGGCCCTCTAGGGTAAGAGGCCAAGTGGGTCAGGGGCAGGAGATGTATTTCTCTGGACTGTGAGCAGTCCAGTCCCAGAACAAGCCAAGGGCTGAGGAATGATTGCCCCCCACCCCGCCCTGCCCCCAGCCCCCTGGCCCTCCTCCCAATCCCTGAATGAGTTTGTCTTGGTCATCAGAATTCCCACGCATGGCTCTGGTAACCAGTGGAAGCTCCAGAGTCTCTTTCCTGAGGTTCTTTGGAGTTAAATTTCAGGGTCCCTGGGCATGCAATCCACTTTGGGGACCGCACCCTCCAGGGCAAGCTCTCAGTTTCGATCACTCCTCAGATACGGAATCATCTCCATTGCTTCTGGATATCTGAACCGTGCTACTGACTCACAAAATGTTTGGCAACAGCCACCTAACTACGAAGACGGTGCTGGTTCAGAAATAGGGCATATCTCTAAAATGAAAAAGCAGCAGAGCTAGATAGCCAAGAGGGGCACCAGAGTCAGGGCTTGGACCTATGATGGCGGTGACAGGGACAAACGGACACATTGCCGAGTCACGAGCCAGCCAAAGCTGGGAAAGGGGCGTGTTTGTGCTCAGGGGGTTGGGCCCTGGAGTCCTGAGAATGCCATTCTTCCCCCTTCTCTCTTACCAGGGGAGCCCAGAGGCAAGGTGGTCAGAAGTCAGTGGGAACATGAGTCCCCAGTGTTTTGAAGGAGCCAGATGTTGGGGGAAAGTGCAGCCTATATCTGGGCTAACGTGATTTATAACAATCTTCACAGTGGTATCACACTCAAGCAAAAGCATCCATGAGGGCACTTGCATGATGCAAATTGACCTGTAAAAGCCACATACTACCATTATCTCTGTTCTATTGAATGTTTATTTTGTGACAGATTTCCGAATGACATTTGAATCTAGTTCAGCCACGCAGAAGTGTTGAGGGCTGTGTGTTTAATGCCTCTGATCTATACAATGGAAAGAGTTGAATGACCCCCAAGGGCCAAATCTACGGTTCTGTGAAGTGTTTATTCTGGGTGTGGATTGGAATGGCGCCCCAGGTGGCCGAGACACATGAGTATGTGTGTGCCATAGGGCGTAGACCTGAAAGGTCAGATAGAACCACCCAGTCGTTTTACAGAGGAGGAAATGGAGACCCAGAGAAATTCATGAACTGGGTCAAGGTCACACCCTGAGTTGCTAAAGGTGGGATTCGAAGCTGGGGCTTCTGATTCTAACTTTCAGGGTTCTTTCTGCTCCACTATTTCAGAGTCCCTTCTATCTCAGGGGAATGAGGTCCATCACTGGATAAAATTACCAGGCCCAAATGGGAATTGAAGATAGGAACTCTACTTGAGACATTAAGGATCAAGACAGCCTGGTAGAGTACAAAGAAAGCTGTATCTGGAGTAAGAGGACCTGGGTTCTAATCCTACCCTGGCTGCTTGTTACTTGTGTGACCAAGTCATTCCAACCTCATGGGCCTTAGGTTCCTTAACTGTAAATTAAGGAGGTTAGTTGAGATGACCTTGAAGGGCCCCCTTAGCTCTGAATCTATGTCATCTTAGGACTGGAAGGCGGGACCAGCTCAGGAGAGCGCCCAGAGGTTTGTGTGCCCAGGAAAGAATAGTTCCAAGATACTTTTGTGAGTGGAAGCCCAGGGGATCGTTACTGTTCCAGACTTTAGTGGGGAATTTGACCTAAATTCAAGGGTAAGCCTTGAAGAATCAGAAAGAAAAGTTCTTGCTTCTTCAGTAACCAGAAGAACTAAAAGAGAAAGGTCAGGGCTCCAGTTTATGGTCTTTGCAGGAGGAAATTTAGATGCTTGGGATGGGACAGCTGAAAGTTATCAGCTGGGGAAGGTTGGAGGCTGAAAGAATGACTCTGCTTCATCGCACCCACTTTTCTTGATCTGTGGCGGGTTCTCTGCTTCAGTCTTCACTTCCACTGCGAGGTAGGCTGGGGGCAAAGCACCTGAGTGGAAAGACTTGAGCTCATTCTACTCAAGTGTGAATGGTTGAAGTCAGACCCCAGTGGGAACGCAAACTTTGGCTATTATGAAGTGAAAATGAAAATGAACCTGCCTGATTGTAATTTACTTAACAGCCACAGCCTCTGCCCTGGGGCTTTGCTCCGTTGTGGTTTCTGCACTCTCACTTAATGGAGCAGCAAGCATTCAGTGGAGGGCTCCAGCTTATGCAGAATGGTGACGTGGTCCAGGTTTGTTTTTTAGGGCTCCAGGCATCCCCTTTACCCCAAATGCAAGATGGACCCTCGCTGGTCACCAGGTGTCCAGCCACCTCACCTTTCTTTCCCTGCCCATTTCCAAAAGCTGATCTCAAGAAAGATCTGATCTTAATCGTTTCCACCCTAGCGTGAATGAGTTCACTGCTTCTGTGTTGCCTCTGAGGCCAACGTAGGGAACAGGGAAGCATTGGTGTTGCAGGGGACCACAGATTTATGGCTGGACAGGGCTGTCCATTTTCTAAATGAGGAAACTGAGGGAGGATAGATGACTCGCCAATAGTGACACAGGTAGCAAGTAGGTGTGGGTTTGAACCCAGGACTTCAGAATTTAGATGCAGAGAGCTTTCCAAGGCACCCCATCACCTCGGGGCCCAGGAGCAGGGGCTGAGGGAGGGAGCCCTGACACTGGCTGATGACCCTTTACTGGCCTGAAATGATGCAGGAAATCAGCTCAGAGAGTAACGTCTGGTGTGGAAAAAAACTGATGTTTATCCTGCACTTTGAAGTTTGCAAAGCCCATTTACAAACACCTAACTCTATGAGGTTACAGATGAAGAAATCAAGCTTCAAGGAGTTTAAATTACTTGCTCATCGCTACACGGCAATTGAGATCTAAGGTGGAATTTAGACAGATGTGTTCCTGAATCTAGATCCGGCCCTTTATCTACACCGCATATGCTTCTGATTAACTGGCAAATTTCTGGCACTGCCATCTCAGGGGCCTTTCTTTTCCACTGTTCTCAAGCATCCGCCTTCCTCCTTCCTCAGGCTCAGGCGGATGAGGCAGCTCTGTAGCGAATGCAACATAAAGCTTTCCCTGGGTTACGGGCTGTTTCCCCTCAGACTTCACTCAGGCTCTTTCTTATTCCTCTCTTTAGTATTCAGGTATTATAGTTGTGTGTGTGTGTGTGTGTGTGTGTGTGTGTGTGTGTGTGTGTGTGTGTGTGTGTACGTTAAATCCTGTGCTATGACTCAACGGTCTTAAAAGTAAGACACCCTCCTAGCCACCCCGAGCTCCGACCTCTGCAAAGGGTGGTTGGTGGTGTCTTCTCTTGTCTCTTCGTTAGGACTGAGCTAACTCTATGATCTGGCAGCACTCGGCTTGTATTGTATCATGGTCGTCACTCTTCCCATGTCCGTGGTGGCAGTCACTGTGTATGTTGGTTCCTAGCTCTGCTCACTTCGCTCTGAACCAGGTCTTGTTAGGTCTGTCTGTGCTTTTCTGCTTTCGTCATGCTCCTCATTTCTTACAGAAAATATTCTGTTACATTCAGGCACCACAATTTGTTTCACCATTGTCCAGTCCATGGGAATCTACTTTGTTTTCAGTTCTTTGTCACTATAAGAAGTGTTACTAAAAATATTTTGGCATATTGGGAATATTTTGGTATAGAGATTATTTTGGTATGTAGAGAGCTTTTGTTTTTGTCAATGACCTTGGGGGACATGAGTCACTAGCAGTGGGACCTCTGGGCCAAAGTGATGGAAATTTTGCACTTTCCTGGCATCATTCCCAACTGATTTCATAAACTGTTGGACCGATTAATTCACAGCTCAACCACCAATGCATTAGCATACTTGTCTGTAAGCTGTGGGGTAGATATCCATCTTCATTGGTAGGAGGTTCCTAGACTGATGAAATCACAGGTTTCAGCAAGAAAATGTTCTGCATTTATTCATCTGTGTCCATGTTGTTTTCCCATGTGGAATGTAAGCTCCTTCAGTGCAATTCAATTCAATTTAGTTCAATTTAATTCTTGCCTATGCTTTACTAGAATCCAGGACAAGTCAGTTACCTCCCCAGGGCCAGGGTTTCCTCATTTATGGCACCTTCTATATCTGTGAGGTTACAAAACAGGCCCTCATCTCAAGGGCCTGACCCTCTCCTGGTCTGAAGGGTTCAGGGCTTGGGGGGAAGAGTATAGTTCTAGAATATGACATCTGCACAAATAACTGTGGTTCTAGACATTAACAACAACGAGGTCAGGGATAGTTTTTTTTTTTTTAATCTCCATCACAGTGCTTTGTGCAATGGGGATGCTTCATAAATGCTTGTTGAATTGAGTTCAGTATTCTCTGGTGAATACTTGAGCCCTCGCACCCTTCTCTGGGATGCCCATTCCTCTCCTTGTGTCTCCAGAGAGCCTCCCTAGTGGCCACACAACTTAAATGCTTAATCGACACTTATTGACTTGTGTAGTGAACATTTGGCTCTTCAGCCAAATTAAGCCAGTACTTGGCTTAATGACATGCTCCGAGGAGCAACGGAGGACACAGGTTACTGTGCCTGATGGAAACAGATATTGCCTTTTAATTGCTTCTAAATTGACTGCTCTTTTATTTCATTAAGTGCCACCAGGTGCTCCTAGGAGTATAGCTCTGAACCATCATTATCACATGGACTGGAAAGCATCTGTCACCTGAGAGGCTGGAATTGGGGCTACTTTGGGGTCTTCACCAGGGCTTATGGGACTGCTAAAGATGCCAGTGTCCTTTAGAATCTGGAAAAGGGGCCTCAGCTCCCTCTCCTCCAGGATTTCCCTCCCCCTCACTTTCTAAGTTAGTGATGCTGGACTGGGAGGCAGGAAGAGCTGGGTTCTAATCCTGCCTCAGACACTTCCTAGGTATGTAACCCTAGGTACATCACTAAACTTTCTAGGCTTCAGTTTCCTCATCTGTAAAATGAGAGAGTCTATGAAATCACAAGCTCCAAGTCTGTGATCTGAATGCTGCATCTGAATGAAGGCCCTCGATTATTAATTATGCTTTCATTTACAGTGGTTAGCTGTACCAGATGTAAACAAAAGGATGAAATGAAATCCATCAGTGAAGACTGGCTCTCCCTGTCTCTCACAGGCTGGAAGCACAGCGGCCACTCCCAAGCCCAACCCCATTGCTGGCTCTGGTTCCAGGGTCCTTTGCTGAGCTCTGCCAGCCTTCTCCTTCTCCTGTATCCCTCCCCCTCCCCCCAAGACATTCTCACCTTTCACTGTAGAACATCCGAGCATCACCCCTGCCACCCCAGCCTCTGTATCCTGGAGCTGCTCGGAGGTGTCTACACAGGACTCTCAGAGTGTGATAATCCCTAGGGTCCTTAGGATCAGGTGGCTTGACCCAAACCTTTGTGGCTCTCCATTTATTACAATCTGGTTCTCCTCAAGGTTGTCGCGATATACAATGAGCATAAAATCCCCGAGCAAGGGAAGAAAATGGAACCAGACGACGACACCAAGGATGGCCTCGTCTCACTTCCGCTGGATGAACTGAACCCATCAGACATTGATGCTCTGGTGCCCACTGAGGATGAGAATGGCCACCCTATCCCGGAATGGAAACGGCAGGTGATGGTGCGAAAGCTGCAGGCCCGCCTTCAGTCAGAGGAGATGACAGAATGGAAGGTACAGTGTGTGCTGGGAGAGGCTGGTCAGGCATTTATTTAATGCTTACTACGCACCAGGCAAGCCAAATGAGAGGTCATTCCTGCCCTTGAGAGGCTTATGTTCTAATGGAAGAACCCAATAGAGGCTGAGAAGGTGGTGGGGGTGATCAGAAGGACAGCTGGGAGGGTCATGAAGATGAATGGCCTGGCCCCCTCCCCAAAATGGAGACCCCAGGAGGAACTCATTAATGGGAGAAGGGGCTAGTTATGGCAGAGGGATGTTTCAGGATGAGAAAGCTGGAAAGGTGTATTAGTGTCCCAGGGTGGGGAGGTCCCAGATCCTGAGGGGGCTACACAGGGAGAATAAAACTTCAGCTCCTAGAGGGTCCTATTCTCCTGCATAGGGTGGGTGTGGGGAGTGGGGAGGAGGGTGGGTGGACGGAAGGTCTGTGTCGTGCTGGAACAATCAGTGGACTAAGGACATAAAGACAAGACTGGGAAAGGCAAGGCCAGGCTGGCAACAAAAGGCCGGGGCTGGGGATAGGAGCAGAGCAGGTCCCGGGAGGCCCCAGAAATTGGTGGTCAGAGTGGAAGCAAGGGGTCAGAAGATGGGGAGGAGTGCACTGAGCCTGGAGCTCTAGAGGACATCCTGTCTAACAGACCAGCAATGAAGAGACCTTGATGCTGAAGCAGGATCTGCCCCAGCTAGGAAGCCTCTTGAAACTGGAGCCTGAGGCGATCCCCACAGACTAGAAGGGAAACCCTCCAGGGTCTGACCACCACGGCAGGGACAAGTTTTCTGGGGCCTAATAAATAGCAGGGGTGGGCAGTGGGGGATCAGTGACAAGGGGAGACTCCCCGCAGATGGGGTCCTCTTATAATTAGGGCAGTTTTCTTTTTGCCATGGTCATATTAGGAAGGTCTTCTTAAATATATCTAAGTTAGATTTTCTGCTTTAAGCACCAATCCCTGGGCTCTCTGATGGGTGGCAATGAATCAACGTCTTATCGCGCTCTCTCCTACTGTGTAGCCTGGTTATGGAATATATTTGTTACATCAGTTATATATCCCCCTCAATCTTGCTCTTTCTGAAAACTACGAGAGAGTCAAGGTCAGTGTCCCCTCAAAGTCACAGCCCATGAGCCCCCGCCAATGTTTCCTTTACCAAACCAACCATAGGGCACACTTTTTTCAAAGCAGGATGCAGCATTAAACAGCCAAGTAACATAAATCACAAGGAAAATGCCTCTAATACACACAGGGGTAAACTCTCCCACAGATCACCACACCATTGCAGGTGGCGCAGTGGCTAGAGTGTCATGACCTGAGTTCAAACTCAGCCCCAAATGCTTATTCGCTGTGTGACCCTGGGCAAGTTACTGAGTCTCTTTCCTCATATGTTAAGTGGGGATAATAACAGCACCTACCTCCCAGGATTGCTGAGAGGTACAAATGAGATTATAATTGTAAAGTGCTTAGCACAGTGCCTGGCACATAGTAAGTAAACAGTATATAAATGTTAGCTATTGTTATTGTTATTAATATTTCAATTCACAAGAACTTTGAGGGTCTTTGCTTATAGAAGAGATTTCCTCTTTGGAGAGACTTTCTGGTTTATTTGTGAACACATCCAATATCCCTACTAGAGTTATCAACAACGAGGGTTGAAGGAGTTGAGCTTTAGGCAGTAACCGATAACAATGGTCAAGTTGACCATCTGCAAACAGAGCTGGCATTGATCCAGAGCCATCATCCAGACTTTACTTATGTCTGATGTTTGCGGTTGTTGGTACAACCCAATTGGACCAATAGTTTGATCATTGTTTGACAGCCTGTCCTGATGATGACCAAAACAACTGAAGAGAGCTCAAGATGAGCTCATTTAAATGTAGTCATTTAAAAATGGCATTAGAAGTCAACCCAAGGACACTAGAAAATGGGACTTAGAGAAGGACAAGTAGTAAGGCCCTTGAAGCTAGTTGTGGAGAGAATACTTGGCCACTCTCTTTACCCCCAAAAGATAATCTTGGCTCGTCTAAGGTGGAGGGCAAATGTGGAGGGGGGATGGACATAGATCACAAAGAATGGGAAATTGGGAATGGGTGGATTCTGTCCTACTGGAGGGGGTGCCTGTGACCTTGAGAGTACAAAGCCATTGAAATTTTGACTGGAAATCTATCCAGGGGTAGCAAATGCCTGCCCAAGGAACACCCCCTCCCTTATCCTTCCCTGCCCCTAAGAATAATTGTAACACTTCTTTGGTGAAGGACAGGTGCAGCCCATTCCCCCAAACAGAGCAAGGGGTAGGGAGCTGATAGAAACTCTTGAATTCTAAATTAGGGGGAAATTGCCCAGGGGCCCGGAAGATAATTATTAGTCCCTCAGAGATAGAAGTAGGACGGCAAACCCATCCCTACCATCTCTCCCTCTTTCTTCCCTGACAGAACAGCGGAGGTGACTCCATAGAGATGGGGGACTGGAGGTACTCGCAGACCCACAACGCCATCCTGGGTCCCTATGGGGAGCTGCTGACAGAGGATGACCTGGTGTACTTGGAGAAGCAGATCGAGAACCTGCAGATGAGGAAGAAGTGCCAGGAGTATGAGACCGAGCTGGGGCGCCTGGCCGAGGAACTCCAGAGCCTCCTCCCCGCTCCCATCGTCAATATAACCGTCAACAGCCACTTCCTGAGCCGCAATCCAGAAAAGGAAGCGTCTTCTCCTCCAGCCACGGCCGTGGAGGGAAGTCACACGCTGCCGCACTGGTGCAGCCACATGTCGGGGCTGGTGAAGAGCATGTCGGTGCTGCTGAAGAACATGAACGGCCTGGCCAGGCTGAAGGAGACCCCCGCCCCCAAAACCTCATTCGAGGTCAGGGGGGGTGTCGTGGGCCCCTCGGGGAGCGTGGCGGAGAAGGAGATCCTGGAGTGTGGCGTATCGGTGAGAAGCCTCAGGGATAACTTTGAGAAGCAAGTAAATCCAAGGCTGCCCTGTGGAGTGAGGGTCCTCTCAGAGAAGTGTCCAGGGGCCTCGTGGGAAGCCGGTGCTACCATCACATTCCCCAGGGCGCAGAGGAACGCTCAGGCCGGTGAGAGGCAAGTGTCCGGGGACCCTGAAGAGGCCAGTGACTCGGGCATCAGCTGCGAGGAGGCTTCCTCTGATGTGGGCACCTGCTCCATCGCTGTGCCTGATTCCTCCAGCCTGAGGAAAGAGCGGATCGTCATGCTCTTTCTGAGTCACTGGAAGAAGTCAGCCTACACCCCTGCCCTGAAGACGGCAGCCAGGAGGACCCTGGAGTCGTCCAAGGCTGGCCTTCCCCAGGCGCCTGCCGTGGCCGCCCGAATGGAGCCGCTGCCACTTCCTGGAGCGTTTCCCCTTCGCGGGCCCAGCAAGTTCAGCCACCTGCTCCAGCAGAGAAGCGTCATCTCCCACCTGCTGGGCCACTGGAAGGATGTCATCTCTCACGTGCCCCCGCGGCAGATCCGACGGCTGAGCCGCCAGCCGGTCACGTACTCCCCCGAGATGTTCCTGCCCTACGTCAACGGGGCCCCCGTGGACTACCACAGCCTCACCTTGGACCTCTTCATGCTGGGATACTTCCAGATCCTGGAGCAGGACCTGCCCCCCGAAGAGCGTAAGATGAGACACCTGCTCTGCTTCGAGGTCTTCGACCACCTGGGCGGCCACGGCTGGGAGACGGTGCGGAGCTTCCACAGAGCCGTGACGGACGAGATCGAGGCCGGCCGGCGGAGCTGGAAGGATGGCTTCGAAGACATTAAGGCCCGCTTCTTCGGCAGCAGCAGGAAGCCGGTGTGGGAAGTGGAGCCCGTCCGAAAGTCGGGGCTGACCTCCATCAAGCCGCCGCCCGGGGCCTCGGCGCCGGCTGGCCACCTGGAGCCGAAGGGCCGAAGGCCCGGCAGCTGCCCCGAGCTCGGGAGCTTTAATAGCGAAGATATCTGTGGCTACATCGACAGGAGCTTTGCCTTCTGGAAGGAGAGAGAAGCAGAGATTTTCAACTTCGGAGATTGAGGCCAACGGGGTGGCCCGTGCCCCTGCCTGGGCTTCGTGTGTGCATGTTTTGTGTGTGTGTCTCTGTGTGTTTAAAAACCAGCGGATGGAGAAGCAGTCGCCCTCTGCCCTTCCTGTCCCAGTACCCCTTCTCCCATGCCTATTTTTTTTTTTCCATTTCAGGATATGTGGAAGGAGAGCCTAGAGGACACTTGTTGAACATGCCCCCAAATTTGCAAATATATTTGCCCAGTTGGGAAATTGAATATGCACTGTGACCTTTTCTCTGTCCCTCTGGTTTTCATGTGTCGGGGGCAACTTGGGGCACGGAAACTCTCCAGGGATTCAAATCGTTTCCTCTCTAGGCTCAGAGAGTAGCCTGGGTGCTGAGAGGTTACACTCTTGTCCGGAGTCACGCAGCTGGTACACGTCAGAGTCAGGACTCAACCCCTCGTCTTCCTAACTCCCACCATGGCCCCCTATCCGCTATGACACAGCCCCTCTCTCTGGTTCTCACAGAATCACAAAATCTCAGAGTTGAAAAGTCCACAAAGATCCCGTAGCCCACCCACCCATCCCTGGGTAACAATCCCTTCTTCAATCTTTCATTTAGTGGTCTGCTTGAAGACCCCCGGGGGGCGGCAGGGGAGCGGTGTCCCTATATGCCCTGAGGCCCCACTTTGAGGTCACTTGCATGGTCAAATGGTAGAACTTGTACTAAGGAGACCTGAATTTGAATCTTACCACAGACAGTCCCTTTCTGGAAGATCATGGACCAGTCTCCTAATCCCTCATTGCCTCAGTTGCCTAATCAGTAAAATGGGGGCATACTTGTGCGCAGTTTTTGTAAGGAAAGGGCTTTGTAAATTTCAGAGCCCTCTGGAAAGATGAGAGCATTCCAATGAAGACAATGAATGGAAATCCAGCTTTCTTTCTTTCTTTCTTTTTTTGAAATCCAGCTTTCTGCCCAAGCTTAAAGCCTCTTCTGTGCGACACCCCTTAGATTCTTTAAGTCTATCTTCAGGTTTCACCCACCACACCACACCCACTAAGTCAGTGGAGTCAGCAAGCATTTATTAAGCATTTACTGCATGCCAGGCACCTCGAGTTAGCATTAGCAGCCCAGCCTTTTTCTTTCAGTTCTCTCCTTCCATGACTGGCTGTAAATGGGCAAGTTCAGAAGTGGGAAAGGCCTGGAGTTCTGTGTGGGGCATGTTGACTCTGATGCCTGTGGGACAAACAGTCCAAGGTGTCCCAAAGGAATCGGTGATGTGGAACTGTAGCTCAGCAGAGAGCCTAGGGCTGGGTAGATAGATCTGAGAATCATTTGGAAAGAGATGAAGATGGAGCCCTTGGGAACTGGCGAGGTCAGTAGGTGTGAGAACAGAGATAAAAGGAAAGTGGCCTAGAATGGGCCTGGGGGACACCTATGGTGGTGGCAGGACAGTGATGAAGAGTCAATTAAGGAGAATGAGATGGCCCATGAAGACAGATAGGAGCAGACCTGGACAGTCATTGGACATCCCCTTGGTTGGCCATGGTTTAGTGGGAATTCCCTCTGGGTACAGGCTGGACCAGATGCCTACTGAGGTCCCTCTTTATTCTCAAATTCGATGATTCCGGGAGACTGCAGGTCCATTTGAGGACCCGAATCACACGCCAGATCAAGCATTGTCTTGTTCCAACTGAGCGGTGGGCCCGTCACAATGCGTTTTTCTCTCACTGATCTTCCTCACTGCCTGCCTCTCCTCTTCTGCCTCTCTTGGTTTCAAGGCATATTTGCTTTTATGCATTCAATTCAATTGGTGAAGTGGGAAGAGGGCTGACTCATGTCAAAGAGCTGCCTTCAAATACTGCCTCTGAAGCTTATAGCAGTGTGACCTTGAGCAAGTCACTTAACCTCGATGGGCCTCAGTTTCCTATGTAAAATGATGAGCGGTACATATGGCATCTGTGGTCCTTTCTAGGTCTGTGATCCAATGATGTAATTTAGTTCGATTTATTAAGCACGCACTATGCACAGACTGAACATTTGGGGCTGGGGGTGCACAGACCCCAGATGAATCACTCTCAACACTCAAGGAGCTTGCACTCTCTTGGGAGGGGAACGACATGTACGTAGATAAATGAATATAAAATATATACAGAATATGTCAATCACTGAAACTTGGTGAGATGAAAATCCATGAATGAAATGTGGCTCTGGAAGGTGATACCTTATTCAAAAGGAACAATATTGGTAAAAGAATGAGGGAAGGATAAGGGGTGACCTTTTCTATTGAGAAGAAACACTCGTGTTATGGAGATCAAAGAAGAGACCGGGGAAAGGGTTGAGTCATGGTCACCATGTTCAAGTATTTGGCAAGCTGTCATATGGAAGAGGGATGAGCCTTGCTCACTTGGCCCCAGAGGACCAAACCAGGAGTGATGAGGGGAAGCCATGGAGGGGCCAGTTGAGGCTTCATATCATATTAGGAAATCGTCTTAACGTTGAGAGCTATTCCAAAGTGGAACTAGCTGCCTTGAGGGTGGTGAGCTCCCTGTCTCCTGAGCTCTCTAAGCCAAGGGTGAATGTCCACCTGGTGTAGACGCTCTGAAGGGGATGCCAGCTTAGAGACAGGCTGGATTCATTGGCCTGAGTAGCCTTCCCACTGGGAGAATTCTGAGTCTGAGATGCACAAAATGGCAATCATCAGCCTTGTCTTTCTATGCCAGAGGGCTGCCACAAGAAGCCGAAATAGCTCAGTTGGAAGAGCGTTAGATTGAAGATCTTGAAGGTCCCCGGTTCAATTCCGGGTTTCGGCATTTAGGGAACATTTTAGATAGTACAGTGGATAGAGCTCTGAGCTGGGGGGAGGGGAGACCTACATTCAGAGCAGGCACTTGGTAGCTATGCGATCTTGGGAATGCCCTCGATGACTTCCAGCCTCAGTTTTCTTGTCTGTAAAATGAAAGATTCTAACAGCACCTTCTCAAATCACAGAGTCACTGTAAAGCTTAAATGAGAATCTACATGTGTAGATATATGTGTTTGTGTATGTACATATGTACACATATATGTGTGTGTATCTCTCTATCTTCATAAACCCTAAAGTGCTATAGAAACACGAGCTATTATAATTATGAATTGGGGGAGGGAACATATATACTGTACGTAGGAGGCTGCTGTGTAGAGGGAAGGGTCCAGGGGTCTGTAGGACGCAGTAGAAAGGCAGGTAGTAATACATCTTCTTTAGTTTCACGTCCGTTTAATAAAACTCCGTCAGTCTAGTGTTGAATCATCGGATAGTGTCAAAGACTTTGGGGTGACAGCTTTCATTTCCAGGTCTCCTGCAGCTGAGATGCTAGAAGCCGAAATAGCTCAGTTGGGAGAGCGTTAGACTGAAGATCTGGCGGTCCCCGGTTCAATCCCGGGTTTCGGCATTTGGGGGAATATTTTAGGCAGATATAGGTGGTGCAGTGGATTGATCAGGAGGACAGGAGTCAAGCAGACCTGAGTTCAAATCCAGGCTAGGATGCTAAGTAGCTAATTGTGACTTCCATATCCTGGGAAGAGGAGGTGAGAGGGTCATTTGGAATAGATGCCTTTCAGGGGCTCTAAATGCTGCCATTCTATGAGTGGTTGGATGACTGAGCACTTCTCTGAATTCTCCCAGCTTGGCCTCCCTCGTTCACCTTTCCGCACACATATCTGGGTCGTTCCTCTCTTTGGCTTCTCCTCACTGGGGCCCCCACCACTGCAGACCAGGGGAAGGCCTTGTGGTGCTCGTAGTCCCTCCCCCCTCAGATCTAGGTTGGTGGCCAGAGTTGGGAGGAGGGGCAGGGGATAAGAACTTGATGTTGAATGGTGAGAAGATAATCTGGATTCTTCTCTACCCGTCTGTAACCTGAAAATGGGGGGCTGATGGTCAGACCATCTGTCTCATTGGAATGTTGTTAGCAGCTTGTGGTACAGTGGAGAGAAGGCTAGATTTAGAGGGAGAAGTTCTGGGTTCCAAACTCACTTTTTTCCCTTGCTAGTTGTGTGACCCTGGGCAAGGCACTTGACCTCTATGAAATGAGGGGTTTGAAGTAGATGGCCTCAGAGGCTCCTTCCAGATCCAGATCCAGATCTGTAAAAAAGTGAGAAGAGGGTGAGGACCCATTCACATTAAGGGGGCTTCCAGGTGACTGAGGAAGGCCTGAAAGGAGAGAGAGGAGGAGATTCTTTGCAATGGAGCAAGGTCCAGTGGAAAGAGCCCTGGCTCTGGAGTCAGGGGACGTGGGTTCAAGTCACTCTTCTGATGATTACTAGCTGTGTGATCTTGGGCAAATCTCTTTACTCCACGGGTCCTCAGTTTCCCTCTCTGTAAAATGAGAGCATTAGCTATATGAATTAATCAAGGCTTAGGCTATGAGCCCAGGAGTTTTCATTGAAGTAAGCAAAACCCAGAGAACAATTTATACAAAAACAACATTGTAAAAAGAAGTGACTTGAATATCAAGAAATATTTGTAAAACATCACAAACCTTAAAGCTATAGAAATGTTGGCTAGTAAGCAATAGTGAGGGCAACGAGGTGGCACAGTAGACAGAGCATTGGGCCCAGAGTCAGCGTAATCTGAGTTCAAATCTGGCCTCATATACTTACTAGCTGTGTGACCCTGGGTAAATCACTTAATCCTGTTTGCCTCTTTGTTTCCTCATCTATAAAATGAGCTGGAGAAGGAAGTGGCAAGGTACTCCAGTATCTTTGCCAAGAAAACCCAAATGGGGTCATGAAGAGGTGGACACTGATAATGACTGAACAACAAAAGCGATAGTGAGCATTTACAAAATGCTTTAAGGTTTGCAAAGCGCTTCACAAATATGATCTCATTTGATCCTCACAATGACCCGAGGAAGTAGGTTTTATTGCCTCCATTTTACAAATGAGAAAACTGAGGCAAACAGAAGGTAAATGGTTTGCCCAGGGTCACACAGCTTATAAGTGAGTGAGGCAGAATTTGAACTCAAGTCTTCCTGACTCCTGGTCCTGTGCT